TTTTTTATCGTTAAATGTGATTACAAAGCTCCTTTTGTGAGGTGTAACTTAGTTATTCCAACTTGATTTACCTGTTTCATGCCCTCATAATGATCGCCTCGGCACCAGCCTTCCTTTGCCCATGGGAAAGTATGAGACCTTGGGTCTGGCACTGGTAATGAGGCTGATTATTAGTTTCCAGACCCTTGGCAGTCGTCTTCTCGACTTGCCTCAAATTTTCTCCCGCGGGCAGAGAAACGCGCGTCCTTCAGCGCTCATGATGAGGGCCTGATTGCAGACTATAAAAATTCACTCTAGTTAGGTATGGTCCTTAAGCTTAACTTCTGAGACTTGTCATTTGTTCTTTACTTCTAAATTTAATTCTTAGTATGACGAATTCGTCTCAAGGCTCTCAGTTTTTCGTGTAGGCCGCTCTAGAGTTTATATCAAATTGAATATGATTGTTAAATCTCAGTTGTCCTTGCGTGACCCTCGCTTGTCACGCCTCAGACAACACATTAAAGACGCGTGACTTACCTCATGAAAGACTAAACGTTCTTTTCATGGGATGAAAGCTATGGGGCTAGTTAGAGCATGAAAAGTATATGCAATATCGAAATCAAAATGCAATCAAATTATATTTCTTTTATTTTTATTTTTCTTTTCATTTCACTGAAAAGTCCTCTCAATAATCTTAAATCTTCCATTGTTATGATTTCGAGTTTTAGATCGGGAACCAGTCTCAAACTGAAAAAGGAGAAACAATTAGTGAAAGGGATTTTTAGTTTTTACATTTCTTTCCAAGGAAGAAAATTCCGGGAATAGTAAAAGAATAGGAAATATCAAATTTACTTTTAATCATCATTAAACTTTTAAACTTTTAGGATGTTTTAAGTTTTATTTGAATCATATGAATTGTAATCGGAATCAAGTAAACTGAAAAGTGTTCCTTCTGTGTTGAATATTGCACTTAACTTGTATTATACTGTAAATTATTTGCACCGAGTATTAAAGTTAGGAATAAATGTCGTGGAAATATAGCGTGACCTTTTTGTCATATTTTGCACACCGCATTTCCTTGAATAAGCGCCCACGCTACAGTAAGCGCCCTCCCCCGAATAAACGCCCCTCCCCAAGACCATAATGTCAAACAAGCGTCCCCTCCTTCCTCCCTCACTCTCTTGGATACAAAGGATACATAGAAAACCTGTTTCAAAGAATGGCTGCCTGTTAGGATCGAGAATCGTCCGTCAACGACCATTTTGGTGTATTGCTCATATTTTGCCCAACGATACCCTTTGGTAAACTATTTTCAAAAATCAAATTTAAAAGTTCCGACGATTATTAAATTTTTAGAAATTGGCGAAAACTTAAAAACGCGGTTTAAGTGCGGTTTTCTGCCTATCAGATTGTCCAAAATTCACTGCAAAAACCAAGCTCCGTTGAAGGCTTGAAATGAATTCAATTAACACCAAACTTCACACGATATAAGAAAAAGCCTTCCCGTCGATTTTCATTATGTTAATTTTTCTGTACACATTGATAAGTCTTCTTAGCAACACCCTCAAAGAGCGCTTAATATGAGAGCAAAAAAATAGGTGAAATTTAACGCGATAAAATTGTACCTGGTACCTCTTTTTTAAATTTTTAACTTGATATTCGTAATATAATGATACTATTTATTTCCTGAGTAAAATTTAATGCTTTGAATCGGACCGCCTCCCTTCGAAAATACTACAAATGTTTGTGTCCAGAGCGAGCAAAATGATGTGTGTTGTGTAAATAAACGCCAATCTAATCATTCC